AAAAAAAAAAAAAAAAAGACAAGACACGACAAGACAAAAATCAACACAATTACAATAGCTTCTTGACTCACGAGCACTTCTGTTTGTGAACAATTCTGTGACGTTTTTCGTATTTTTTAGCACATACTATATAATGTTACTCAGTTCAGCATTACCTTACCAGAAGCGACAGCAAAGCCAACATAGCAAGAAACAAGTTGGTACTATTTTTCTTTCAAAATATTTGCATTTGTTCATTTTCTAGAGTTGGTCAAGTTGGCACCCAAATCACTTCTCCAGTACTTCTCTTGTCTAATGACAGTCTGTAGCAGATCTATCTGGCAGGTTTTTTTTTTTAATTTAATGTAAATAGAGCTTTCTAAACAATTACTGTAGGTGTACACATGTGCGGTCCCATATTTTCCCCCCTTTTCGTTTAATGAACATTTCCTTTTTTTCTTTTTCTTTTTCTTTTTTTTTTTTTTGGCGGAACCAGGGATTGAACTCGAGCCCTTGTGCTTGCCAGGGAAGTGCTTATTCTACTGAGCCATCTCCCCAGCCCGAAATAGCAGTTTAAATATAAAGTTAAACAAATTTGGGGCTGGTGAGATAGCTCAGTGGTCTAAAGCTCCTGTTTAGGCAAGCATGCAGGGACCTCGATTTGATCCCCAGCACCACATGTCATGCCAGCCCCGCCCCCACGGTGGGCTGAGCTGACCTTAAAAAAATAAATAAAAAAAGGAAACATTTAAAAAAAAAAAAAGAAAAGAAATTGATCTGCAAAAAAATATATCAGGGGAAAGAGCGAATGCAGTCTCCCCCACTACCACAAATTATGCAGTCTAGTTTCCCACATTTAGGGAAATTGCAGGGATCAATCAGCACATCCGGAGTGCAATGGATGAGCCTCGCCCTGGGGAAACCACCTTCCTGATCATGGCAGTTCCCCTGCCACGTAAGTATAATGATGAGCATTTCCTGTAAGCTTGAATCAGCTCATTTTATAATTATCCATGGATAAGTCCCTAGAGAACGTTAGCAGACCAGTTACATATGTTTACATAGAAATTTTGAAATCAGAACTATAGGGGCCGGGGAGATGGCTCAATAGGATAAGCGCTTCCTTGGCAAGCACAAGGGCCCAAGTTCAAGCCCCAGTTCTGCCAAAAAACAAAAAACAAACAACAAAAAAAAAACCTATATACAATACAGTAAGACAATCCTAAAGACATCTTGTGATATACTTTAAATATTTTTTGATTTGTTCTGATGTAACACTTTTTTTTTTTTCATTCTTATTTTATTTTATTTATGTGTGTTTGTGTGTGTGTGGCCAGCTCAGCCCACCAGGGGGCGGGGCTGGCTGGCATGTGGTGCTGGGGGATTGAACCG